AAACTTCAAGTTGTTGTCGACTTCTAGGCTTGAATCTTCAACTTGCTTTCGGTATTAGGTTGGTACAAGTGATCGTCAGAAAGAGTTTCCGAATTCTGTGTTCCTGTTTATAGAAAGACTATTTAATTTCTTTTAAAACACAAACCTTTATCAAAATATTCACTATATAAAAATTCTACTCATAATTTTCAATTAAAATTTTTAAAGATTTATCTAAAATTAAATAGACAATATATATTTCAACATTTTAAATTTCTTTATATACAACCCTTTAAAATATACTTACAGTATCAAAATTCTAATTGATAACATTTCAACTATGGAAAATCTAAATATTCATTATCTCTACTTATACTCTATACAAAATTGTGTTTGTTGCTCAAATTTAAAAAATACACTGCATTTGCTTTTATATCCAAATAATAATATTAACCTTCAACAATCCCTAATAGATATAATTACTGCCTCACTTTCTTCTCTTAAAATTACAACTACACTACCAACTACAATTTTTAATATTCTTCTTTGCTTTATACTTAATAACTTTAATCCAAACTACAATCTTTTTTATATTATATTATTGGTATTTATTCCTCAGCTGTTTATAAAAATATTAAATTATAAACAGTCAAACAAATTAAACAATTTTTAATTATCTTATTTAACAATCTTCTAAACTGGTTTTATGATGAAATATGATCCATATGTAATATCTTTTAACACCAATAGAAACAAGCTCAGAATATTACTTCAAAAACTAACTGAAATAAATACATCTTACCCAATATATCTTCTATATCAAACACTATTTTATCTAATATATCTCAAATAGATTCTTCTAATTTTATAAAAAAATGATTTCTACAAGGCTATTCTTTAACTAACTATATCTCTTAATATTATAATATATACCTTAGATTTTCTCTAACCTATTCTAACAAACCAATTAATAGTAAAAACTAAAGAGTATAATGTTACATTAGATGCCTATTATATAGTAGCACAAATGTAGTTTTGAAATCTTTAATATAAATTTTTTCTATTTTATTAAATAAAGTTTTAACTATAATATTTACAAAAAAAAAATAAAATAAAAAAATAATACTATATTAATAATTTTTTTAATTCATCAATTAACTTAGTGAACTATAGTGTGTTATTCAAATATACTAAAACAAATGTGAATACTGATATCAATTTGTATTTGTTAAGATTGATTTGTATAAGCTATTTGACTAATAGTCTTTATATTTTTTGCAAATAAAGTTAATAAGTACTGTAGATTATAGTAAATATACTATAATAAGGGTGTAATAGTTTCTTCCTTATTATCTTTTTAACTTTACTTTTTTATTCTACTTTCATATATTTGATAAATAATACTAGGCTTTTTTTCTTGAATTAGCATTGCATTTTTTTTAATTTTGTAATACCACTTGCTAAGTGTTCTAATATTTTTATCCAATTTTCTTGTTTCTTTATTTCTTCTATTTACTTTTATTATCTCTAAAAATTTTCTTTCTTGAACAGTATATCTGCGGCAACCTTTATAATTTTTTCTATTTTTTATCTAAAAAGATTGTTGTTTCTTTTCTCTCTTTTTTCTTGATTTCTTGCTCTTGCAAGAGGGTTTCTCTTTAAACTTCTTTCGTTTTTTTACGAATAAACCTTGTTTGTCTCGATAATTGTCCCAATCAACTTTCTTTGTTTTTCTTAGATCTATTATAATCACCTAACCTCTAATATTATAAACGCTAACCCTAAAATTAATTAACTTCAAAAAATTTTCATGCGCCACAAATCTGCACAAAATTTTGAGTGCAAAATAGTTTATACAACAAACTGCTTGCTTAGGCAATTATATAATCTAATTTATCATAATTTTAACTAGAAAAGGTGGCAATTTAACTTGAATAGCACATAAAATTTTCTTGTTTTAAATACAGTCAAAAAACTAACATATTTAAAAAAACCTTTCACTAGCTTTTGATCTTCAAATAACCATTTTATATTTTTATATTTTTACGCACGCAAGCAATGCAAATGTCGAGACCGTTATCGTACCCTTAAATAATACATTGAAAATAAAACAGATGACTACATTGCTATAGGAATTATATTGCTTTATTCAATAAGAGTCCTGTAAACAAGTCTAAAAACAATTAAAGCCAATCAAATACCTAAATAAATATATTATTAGTTTTTTATTTTCAATAAAAGAATCCTACAAAATTTACATTTGAATACAATATCAGACAATAAACACAAAAGACATGCGTAATAATAATAATAATAATAATAATAATAAAATTAAATTACAGACCAAGAAGTTTTCCACCAATATGCTTTCGCCTAGCTTCGTGATGATCCATGATGCCAGCACTTGTGGTTAAAACTGTTTACAAAAAGATGTAGTTAGATAGCTAAACGGACATGGCAATTTTATAGTGTTAAGTATTTACCCAAGAAACCAAATTGACGTGAGGGCAACAAATTGTTAACCCATTTCTCGATATCTTCTAATTTAATATTAAAGCGAGGTGATATGACACCACATTTGTTCAGCCGACCGTTTAGCTGGATGACAATTTTTCCGGACCGATGGTCATCAATCTCTTCAAATTCACCGATATACTCTATTTTAAACATGAAATATTATTTATTAATGTAAATGATAAGACGAAAATGTAGAAAGTACAAAACACCAAAACGTATGGTATTATAAGACAGATTGGCGTGTAAGATATACTGTTCTCAAAACGTGTTAATATTTCGAAGCATTAAAAAACAAGAGTAAATAAAGGTTAAAATGCTCTTGTCCAGTTATAACTTCGATGAATTAGGAATATCAATATTTTTCGAAAGTAACTCATTACCATGTTTTTGCATTACACTCAAAAACTTGACTACGACTTTAGACGAAGGTCGAATTAGCACTTGACGTTTGCCACGTTTTTCTGCATTGACGATATTATAAAGACAGTCGTTCTAAAACGACAAGTTATTAACATATGGTTCATAAGCACAGAATAATCAACTCTAGCAACTCACATTAAGGTCAACATACCAATACTGAAATTCTAACCATCGTGTCTTTTTTTTTTTTTTTTTTTTTTGATCTATAAAAGATTAAATCCACACAAATTTTTATATCATGTGTTTTTGATCGGTAAGACACTCATGTGATAGTTACACGAGATTAATTGTAACGTGGATATTGTAACAACTTAATCAGTATAATAGATAATTAATCAACCAACATTTTTTTTAAAAGTGGCCAAATTTGACAAAATCTGATTGCTAATATTTCAAAATTTTATTATGTTTTTTAAAATTTTATTATATTTTTATATATAAACTTAAGTGGCAAAATTTTTATCCTACGTATTAATAACTTTAAAAGATATCAACACTACCGCTACGTATTAAAATCTACTAAATTAAAAAACAAATTCTGTAACTTAGTTTTACAGAAAAAAATTTTTTCTTAACTATATTTTTTATTTTTCTAATTAATTTTTATTTATAATACTGGTTTAAGATGTACGTACTGTACAATTAGCACTACGTATGCCCGATTTAAAAATTTTATACTTACAGGTTTTCGCTTGACAACACTCATACGTATTACAGAATTAAATTTGCTGTTAGAGAACGGTTTATAAATTTAATGATTAACGTTAATATAGATTTTTAGATACGTATCGATATCTATATTGATCTGCACGATGTAACACCCTACGTAGGGTAGTTGCCTTTGATTATCATATTCATCCAATCAACATAATAATAAAATTTTATTGTCTCCTAACGTTCTTTCTAGTCGAAAATGCCGACCGTAAATGTGGATAAAAATGAACTTTATCAGGTTCTTGGAAAGCATTATAGTAAGTGGAGACGACGACGTCAATAGAAAAGTTTGTAAACTCTAATAACGCTTTACTACAAAAATGTTTTCATATGACTCCTTGTTTTAACCTATTCTTTATTCTTAGCGACGGAGGAGTTCCGTGAATTATGTTTTGAGTTCGGAATTGAACTTGAGGAAGACGTACGAATGCTAATTTTTATATTGAATAGATATTTAATATTGTGTTGCATAAAAATAACCTTAATATTTTACTGGCTCAAGCTAGACTTCTGAAAAAGAAATGGCTAGTAAAGAAGTTGGAGCAGATAAAGCTGAGGGATTATCAGAACGGCCAATTTTAAAGATCGACATCCCATCTAATAGGTAAACAAATCTAGCATATAATAAAATCGGTTGAGCAAATAAATTATAAATTTATAAGAAATTATATGCATTTTATGTATTGTATTAAATGTTTTTAGATATGACCTTCTTTGTCATGAAGGTATTTCTCGTGCCTTACTAATTTTTCAAGAAAAAGCAAATTCGCCGTCTTATAAGCTTGTCGAGCCAGCGAATGAACATGTACAAATATTGATAAAGCCTGAGGTGTGTGCATTGTGGAAGATAATACTAATATGCTCTTATTAAATGAGTTCTTAAATTAATACTATTTATAATGTTTTGATAGACTGCTCAAATACGACCTCATGTAGTTGGAGCTATTCTTCGAAATATTAAGTTCACCGAAAGAAGTTATAACAATTTTATTGATTTGCAAGATAAATTGCATAATAATATTTGCAGGTATTAAAGATTTCAAAGTCAATTTGAAGTTATATGGATTGGATTTAAAAAGATTTTTTTTTTTCTATAAAGAAAACGAACTCTGGTTGCAATTGGAACTCATGATTTTGATACGATTAAGGGACCTTTTACTTATGAAGCTCTTTCGCCAAAAGAGATAAAGTTTACACCGTTAAATCAAAAAAAGGAAATGAATGGAGAGGAATTAATGGATTTTTATACGGTAATTATTATTATGTGAAAATTTTATAATAAATGCGTACTAATATAACACATAATATAACATATTTTTAAATTACAATTCATAGACCGATAAACATCTCGGAAAATTTCTTCACATAATCCGTGATTCACCCGTTTATCCGGTCATTTATGATGCAAACCGGAACGTTTGTTCTTTACCCCCAATAATTAATGGTGATCTTTCAAAGATTACATTGAATACTAAAAATGTATTCATTGAGTGCACTGCAACTGATTTAACAAAGGCTAAAATTGTTTTAAACACTGTTGTTACAATGTTTTCTGAGTACTGTGAACAACCATTCACGTGAGTTGTGATTTATATTTTATTATTTTAAGTAAATTATAATATGACTAAGAAAATTTAATATTTAAAGTGCGGAACCTGTAAAGGTCATATATCCCGATGGGACTCAATGTATTTATCCGGATCTTTCACCTCGTTCTATGACTGTGAAAGTTGATTATATTAATGCTTGTACCGGGTTAAACCTTGAAACTTCAGAAATATTATCACTCTTAAAACGTATGTCGTTTTCGGCTAAAGTTGCGAACGAACAAGATAAAATCTTGGTTGATATACCGCCAACTAGGGCAGATGTTTTGCATGCATGTGATATAATGGAGGATGTTGCTATTGCATATGGATTTAATAGAATTCCAAAGACTTTTCCAGCTTGTGTAACAGTAGGTAAAGCATTAGCTATTAACAAATTAAGTGATGTGGTAAGAAGAGAAATAGCGTTGTCTGGTTGGACGGAGGTTTTGCCGTTAATTTTGGTGAGTAGTTAAAAAAAAAAAAGAGCCATTTACACATTTACATTTATCTAGCTGGAATAGTTTGATAATCATTTCAACAAATTTCAAATAGTGTTCACACGACGAAAATTTTGCATACTTAAACAAAAAAGATGACAACCTTACTGCAGTGAAATTGGCAAATCCTAAAACAGCGGAATATCAAGTTGTTCGTACTTCACTCTTACCAGGTGTATTGAAAACTGTGAGAGAGAATAAAAAACATACTTTGCCAATTAAAGTTTTTGAGGTATCCGATGTCGTTTTCAAAGATAATTCTTTTGAAAGGTTAGCAAGAAATGAAAGACATGTATGTGCAATTTATTGTAACAAAGTGTCTGGATTTGAGGTATGTCAATTACTTAATTTAGTTCGTGTGGTATAATTATGAGTCACACTATAATAAAATTTAATAAAATTTTGGTTTAATAGATTATTCATGGACTTGTTAATCGCATTATGGATATGCTTAATGTGAAACTTGTTTCAGCTTCAGATAATGAAAAAGGATATTTTATAAAGGAATCCGATGGTACGATATTTTTATTTTTTTTTATTTTTTTTTACGAGTAATTAATCATTTTGTATTTTTGCATTTACAAAACTATAATCAGATACAACATATTTCCCAAATCGAAGCGCGGATATCTTCCTTCGGACAGAAGTGGAGTCTTCAAATATCACAAAAAAAATAGGAAGCTTTGGAATTTTGCATCCTAACGTTCTAGAAAAATTTGAAGTAACCTTTCCTTGTTCTGCCGTAGAATTTAATTTGGAAGTATTCATGTAATCAGATTTACATGTAATTAAGAAAGATTAATCTTATTCATATTTATTATAATGAATAATATACAGTGTAGCTAGAATATTTATTCGTTAAGTCGTTACATAAAGAATATTTAAAATTTGTGTAGTTTTTAATTATCCGTCAGTTTACAATGCTGCCGAATTTTGGCAGTGATTACGTCATCTGCCAAATAACTTCGTTATTTGGCAGCTTACATAATCACTACCAAAACACTCGAGTCATTGAGCAAGC